CTGTTGAAGAAAAAAGTAAGAGGCAAATGAATGTAAATGAATGCACGACATGAATGCAAATGATTTTCCATGCCTGATTGTACCACATGGCAACAATAAATGTACTAGAATGTTTTGATTTTATCTCTTTCATTCTGACAAAATGATGACAAAATGATACACTCTCTGCACACTGTCAAAGGTTATTGCACACAAAATCAACTTTGTTCAAATCAAAACAAAAATACTAGCCCATCTGGTGAATGATGGCACAAGATTTTAAGAAAATTCTATTACAGCGAACCACATTATTTTAATTGATTTGTTCGCCAGTTAGTCGTCTGTCACTTCGTTTGTGCTATAATCTTAAGTAAGGTAATACGATCCCAATAGTACCCGTAATTCAAATAATGCTGCAACTTACACAAAACAAACTACTTCTGTACTCTGTACTTATCATCCTGTATATTCGGTCTCCAACAATGTTCTCCACCGGTTCCAACACCTTCCCGCCGCTGATAGACCGTTGCGTTTCACATCTCGAAAGGCTGATGCTTTTAGGATATTACAAAACCCTAATGCACACGACTTTTTCATCCCACACACTTAGAAAAATTCATGTAAATTTAGGTGTTCTGAGACTGACATATACGAGTGTCAATTTTGACATAAAATTTAGTCACAACAGACGCAAAATTCAGATCAATCAAATGTACTTTTCGTCGAGTAACGAACTTTTCAATCGAGGAACACTTAGTTATTGGATTCCGTCACGTGTAAAATTAGTTATTTCTAAGTGTGTATGATTATGAACAGAAGACGAATTTCGCACACCTACCACTTACCACGTTATCCTTAATGGGCCGGTGAACGAATTTTTTCAGTTCCGATGAAGTAGTAACCACATTTAAGGGGCTATTTTTTCTTCCCATACGTCCGCCGGCGGATGCTCCTTCTTAGTATTTTTCGATGTTATTTTCTTTTGTTGACATTGCATTCCTCCTTAGTTGCCGCTTGCGATTGCAAACCAAAACATTCAAGCTGTCAAAAGTACCGGGTTGCCAATTATACCATTATATACATATTTTACAAGCAATCGCAGCTTGCTCTATGACTGGCACAATCAGCACACTTGCGGCACACCCAGAAAAAAATGTTACCCAAGATTGGTGTGCGGAGTGACCTACCCCTTGCGAAAAATCCATATTTATGGAGAGATGGTTTTGGGATTGAACAATTTGTTTAGATGATTTGCTTCCACACTCAGTTTCTTCCACAGTAACTTTCCAAATAGTTCCATGAACTCCCTTTGAATGACAGATGAGTCGGTTTGGCATTTCCTTGAATTAAAATGGTCTCCCTCTCGATTCCTAAAAAAAAGCAATAAATTAAAAAAATATATTTTCTACAAATGCACACACAAAATCCCAGATGAAACCGTGTAAATAATCGAATGAAATCTGTCTAGCAACGGTGGTAACAAACTACTGTGTTACCTGACTTATAACGAATACACGTTGTATATGAGTACCCCGAATACAACGTATGACTCGTCTAATTTTGCATAGCATTTGCAATGTAAAATTTGACCTACTATACATTGTATTCGGGGTACTCGTATACAACGTATATTCGTTATAAGAAGGTAACACAATAGCGCTAAATATTTCTGAAATATTTTTAAAGTATTTTCAGGTATCTTATATATCAGTAAGAGCTTTCTGAGTATATTGCAAGAAATACAAAGTTTGGAATGTGATGCCCCTAGCGATAAACCACTGATAAAAAAACAATCACTGTGTAATATATCTTACATATATATCTATAATGTTCGAAAATCCCTCTGTTGTTGACTTTTTAAAAGGTGTTTGTCAAAATTGATTCCTTGTCAGTCAGAAATAAGTCTGGTACAATAGCAGGTTTATTTGAGTATTTTCCATCTGTCAAATTTAAGTGAAAATTAACCAAATGAAACACAGCCTTAGCACATGGAATGGTGAAAAGCGATGTGAAACGAATCAAAAGAATCAAAACAGAACAGCAAATTGTAACCTGCTGAATGGTTACATTTTGTTTTTGTATATATTTTGTAAATATTCTTTATTTTAGTTTGTACTGAGTAGTTTAGTTTTATTTATTGAATTGAAATCGAAATCTAAAGTACAGAATTGAATAACTTTACATCCATCTTACTTTATGAACATCCCTATTCCCCTATTCCCACCCCACATAAACCTTCCACTTCCATCATGCGTTACCACCAGCATTCACAGTTGACCACGACAAGAAACGTCATTGAGCGTGTGGTAGAGACGATCGGCGTGTCACCGGGAAATCAATCTCTATTAGGTGAACGAATTTCACGAGTATAAGTTGAAGTTTTCTAAAATATAGTTTTTATCCGCCAGTGAACGGACAGTTTTTGAGTCTGGTGCGCCGTTAGAAGAAGCGAATCCAGCCATCGGTGAAGTGCCGGGAAGACTGTGACCAACGCCTTCGGTGAAGTGTCCGGTGTATCGCATTGTCCCGGAAGCCCTCCAGAGGCTGATCGATGCCATCGGTGAAGTGAGGTGTGCCTCTAGAAAACCCAGCGAGCCAAGGACTACACGTGGGACGAATCCACCGATGTCTGCCAACCATCCAATACATCACCCACGAATGGGTACGGTGCCAGGTGACGATTAAACCCCTCCCTAACCCTAGATCCCTTTCCTTCCAAATTAAAATTCCAAAAACATGAACTTAAAAAAAAACACAATGAATTCACTAAATTAAATTAAGCCTTCTCAGTTTTTAGTCCATTATTAAAAACACGCATTCCCTATTTCCTCTATCGCTCTAGTTCTTCACCTTGATTAGTTTTTGGGAAGTATTTCCGCCCAATTCCTCTCTGGAGCAGGTTAAACGACCCTGAATCCCAGGATAAAGCCTGGAGAGGGACAAAAAGAAGTCCCCAAATAAAAGAACTCTAACAAAATAAGGTTACCAGAAGCACGCTTTTCAGTTGCTCATAGGGTTACTAGAAGTTCAAATTAAAAATGAACCCCGTTAATATGCACGACGTGTCGTTCAAATTATCGGGGGTCCACGGTATATTTCGAGATTCTGGCCAGCTGGGTAGTTGTTGTCTTCGGAAAAGATGTTCAGACAGCCAAAACCTTTTGATTGGCGAATAGATTAGTTCAAAATTATGATACTATGCTTGGTGTGCATGACAAATTTCAAAGTGTGCTATACATACCTCGAGATTCTGGTAATCAATGAAATATACTCGCTTCGGCATAGTTGTTCACATATATAAAACTAATAGAATGGTGAGAAGATTAGTTCAGAATTATGGCATTATGCGGATCGAAATTTCAAAGTGTCATATATCCCAAGATCTTGATTATCTGGGAAGTTTCTGTCATCGGCAAAGTTGTTCTGGTATCTAAAACCTTTCAAAGTGTGAGAAGATTAGTTCAAAGTTATGCCACTATCTGACAGTAGTGTCTATGTGACATTTTAAAGTTTTATTTTCTTTTATTTTTTTTTGTTATAGAGTTTGCTAGTCGAAGGCTAGTTCATCTCTTAACACATTTTAAAGTGTGTTATATCTCGAGATCCTACATATAGGGCTACAAATGAATGGTGAGTTGACAACCTAGCTCTGGTCCTCACAAGATCCTACCTCACACCTCCCCGTGGTGTAGCCTGGACAACGTTGTCCTTCCGACAATAGCAAAGTGAGGATGTGCGACGCGAACTCTGGCGCGGTAACCATAGTACGGCGATAGAGGAAATGCTTCGTCAACCTGCGGGAGTTCCAACCGGCACATTAGGATCGACGCCAGTAAGATCCTTATTACGGCATACTGGACACGGAATGGAATAATGGACACGACACGGCACAATGGATTGGATACTACGCTACAGGGCTGACAGTCGTGCTATTCTGCTCCCTGAGTAAAGAAGGGTGGCACCTTCTCGAAATGGCGAGTGGGCTAATAGCAACAATCAATACGAAACTAACGATTTTAAATTGGCTCACTACTTGACTAGCCTATTGGTCCCAAGCAAACGATTAACGTACCCCATTCTAGTCAAAATTCTAGTACTACACAATGTTTGTTTTGATCCGCTATGAAAGTTTGACAGATAAAATGAGAGGTTAGTGGATTTTCCTATGTTTCGAGGGGTGAATCGATTAGCTTGGGACCGTAGAGAGTACCAGAGCCGAGCCAAAAAGTTGAGCACGTTTCTTCGGGACCTTCTAGTCTTAGAGTTACCTCTATGCTAATAGTGCGGCTGCCCCCGTCTCGGTAAAACCTTGGCAGGCCTCCGGATACGTTCAAAACTCGTCACCAATTGGTGGTTGGTGAGTAGTAGACTCAGATGTAACATTCCTGACTTACGCCGATCTGGCTCTGAACACAGCCCCCATGGAGGACCGTGTCAACCCTAGCATGGCCTCCCTGCTTGCATAGATAACCATGGCATCACGATAGGAGACTACATAAAACGAGTGGAGATAGCGACCCGGAGGAGGTACCCATCAGAATGGGGAAAATCGGAGAAAAAAAACAAAAATGAAGAAAAAGAAAAAACCAAAAAAAAATATGAAGGACGACGGCAAGACGCCAGACAGTGAAAACGGAGGAACGAACGTGTTCGCAAGGAGCGGGATATTGCAGAGATCACCAGTGTCGAACCTGGGGGCCACTGCGAGTTCCAGCAGCAGCAGTAAGTCCCAAGGAGAGCAGCCAGGCGTTGGGCTAAGCCAGATATTCACACCGATATCCAGCAGTAGCAAATCTCAAGAACTGCAGCTTGGGAGAACCAAAATGACGGAGGTCAGGAGGAAGATCGATGACTCTATGTGTTCTTCAAGGATAAAAACAAAGAGATCAAGCAACTTGTTACTCAAATCAAATCCGGCATAACAGTGGCAGATTGCGAATTCCAAGAGTGGAGAAAAAGAGCCGAAAATGCCGAAAAGGCTCTCCTGGAGGCCAAGGAGAGCATAAGACTGGCTGAAACACATGAGACGCCTAAAGGGACCCACAAATCCACGTCCTGAAAAGAGAGATAGGGACACGCCAGGAGATGAAGAGGAGCCCAAAAAACGCAAGGACGAGGAAGGCATCAAGGAGATGGGAGAAAATGGTGGGTGGCGTAAAGCCGAGAACCAGAAGGAGAGGAAGAAAAAACAGAAGGAAGATGAAGTTGTGAAGAATGAAGAAAAAGCGAGGAAGAAGGAAGAGAAGAAGAAGGAAGACAGGAAGAACAAGGAGAAGCCTAGGCCTCGTAGGGAGAGAAGCAAGGGTGACGCTCTGGTTGTTGAGGCGAAGGACTACGCAGCACTCCTCCGGAAAGTGAGAGAGGATCCGGAGTTGAAACAACTAGGCGAGAACGTGGTGAAAATCAGGCGAACCCAGAAAAGCGAGATGCTATTTGAGCTGAAAGGGATCCTATGGTTAGGAGCGCAACTTTTAAGGAGCTCGTCGAAAAATCTCTTGGCTGGACAGTGAACGTAAGAGCCTTATCCCAGAAGTCAGTGGTCGAGACGTACCGATGGCAATTCGGTTGAGGAAGGCGTATGATGGCACGCAGACGGCGTCGATACGAATTTCTTCGGACGCAGCTAACGAGCTGCTGAAGACAGGCCGAATCAAGGTTGGGTTGTCAGTGTGCCCGTTGAAAGCTATTCCTCGGGTATCTAAGAAAATGGAGAGATGCTACAAATGCATGGGCTTCGGTCATCAGGCGAGAAACTGCAAAGGCGCTGACAGATCTGATCTGTGCAAGAAATGCGGAGAGAAGGGGCACGTTGCAAAATACTGTACAAAGCAACCGAGGTGCACGCACTGCAAAAAAGAGGACGGAAACGGCCATGTGACGGGAAGTTTCAGGTGCCCAGAGTTCAAGAAGGCGATGGTGGGCCAGCAATAATGGAGGTAACCCAAATAAATCTCAATCATTGCAAAACAGCACAGCAACTGTTGTGGCAGTCAACAACGGAAACAAAGTGCGACGTTGCAATCATTGCAGAGCCATATCGAGTCCCTCTCAATAATGGTAACTGGGTGGCAGATAGAGCAGGAATGGCAGCCATACAAGTCATGGGCAGGTATCCCATTCAACAAGTGGTGGCAAGCTCATACGAAGATTTCGTGATCGCCAAAATCAATGAAATCTATGTATGTAGTTGCTACGCACCCCCGAGATGGACAATTGAGCAGTTCCACCAGATGCTAGATGGGCTCACCGGAGAGCTCATTGGACGGAAACCAGTCGTCATCGCAGGAGATTTCAATGCTTGGGCATGCGGAGGACGAAAGTACGCGAGCGGAAGTGGAAGACGAAGGCATTCAATAAGGATCTCTTCATCGAAGCTCTAAGGGTAGACAGCAGCGTCCCGGGCCTAAGCGCAGCGTCCCAGAAGGCGCGCTCAGAGAGCAAGAACAGAAGCAGACAGAGAGGAGCGCAGGGTGGTGTTCCGAGAGGCCAGTGCTGCACTGAAACGAATGATAAAGCTGAGCAAGTCAAATAGTTTCAAGGAGCTGTGCCGCGATGCCGATGCCAACCCCTGGGGCAATGCATACCGAGTCGCGATGGCGAAGATCAGAGGTCGATGCCGGTTGAAATGTGTCCCAACAAGCTGAAAGTCATCGTGGAGGGACTTTTCCCACAGCATGACCCAACGACCTGGCAACCTACACCATATGGCGAGGAAGATGAAGACAACGTTGAACAAGTTTCCAACAAGGAACTCATAGCAGCAGCGAAAGGGTTGAAGGCGAATACAGCTCCCGGCCCCGATGGAATTTCCAACGTGGCGTTGAAGGCAGCAATCCAGACGTTCCCGGACATCTTCAGGATGATGCTGCAGAAATGTCTGGACGAGGGTCAGTTTCCTAATAGGTGGAAGGTACAAAAGCTTGTGCTGTTGCCGAAGCCCAGAAAACCGCCGGGGATCCTGCATCGTATAGGTCTATATGATTGCTAGATACTGTCGGAAAGCTCTTGGAGAGGATCATCCTGAACAGGCTGACGAAATGCACGGAGAGTGAATACGGATTGTCGGAGAGGCAGTTCGAATTCCGCAAAGGAGATCGACGGTGGATGCAATTCGGACAGTGGTTGACAGAACCCAGAAAGCTTCCGAACAGAAGCGGAGAGGAAATCGATACTGCGCCGTGACTACGATTGATGTGAAGAATGCATTCAATAGCGCCATCTGGGAGGCCATCGCCAAGGCGCTACATAGAATGAGGGTTCCAGACTACCTCTGCAGTTACTTCCAGGACCGGGTTCTGGTCTACGCGACAGACACGGGGCAGAAATCGCGTAGAATCACGGCGGGAGTTCCACAAGGCTCCATTCTAGGTCCCACGCTGTGGAACGGAATGTACAATGGCGTGCTGACGCTCAAGCTGCCCAAAGGAGTTGAGATCGTTGGCTTTGCGGACGATGGCGTCTTGACGGTAACCGGTGAGACCCTGGAAGAAGTGGAAATGCTGGCGACCGGGGCGATAGATACGATTGGTAACTGGATGCAAGGAGCGAAGCTGCAGATAGCCCACCACAAAACACAAGTGATGTTGGTCAGTAACTGCAAAGCAGTGCAGCGGGCAGAAATCACCGTTGAAGAGTACATCATTGTTTCGAAGCGCGTTCTGAAGTATCTGGGAGTGATGATCGACGACCGGCTTTAACAGCCGCATCGAATATGCTTGCGAGAAGACGTCGAAGGTCATCAACGCGATAGCCAGAATCATGCCGAACAATTCTGGTCCAAGCAGCAGCAAGAGGCGTCTTCTGGCTAGTGTGTCCTTATCGATACTAAGGTACGGAGGTCCAGTCTGGATTGAAGCGCTGAAAACGAAGCAGAACCAAAGAAAACTGAGTAGTATGTTCCGGCTCATGGCCATGCGAGTCGTGAGTGCGTACAGAACCATTTCGATGGAGGCAGTATGCGTTATCGCCGGTATGATCCCAATCGGCATCACCTTGGCGGAGGACTACGAGTGCTATATGACGAGAGAAACCAGAGGAGTACGAAAAATGGTGAGAACGGAGTCGATGGCTAAGTGGCAGCAGGAGTGGGATGCAGCAGAGAACGGTAGATGGACACACAGGCTAATGCCGGTTCTTTTGACCTGGGTGAACAGGAAGCCTGACGCAGTTCCTGTCTGGTCATGGCTGCTTGAGGAAGTACCTACATCGGTTCGGACACACAACGTCACCCTTCTGTCTGGAGTGTGGGAATGTGGAAGAATCACCAGAGCACGTGGTCTTCGAATGTCCTAGATTTGATGCTGTGCGAGAGGAGATGCTTGCCCTTAGCACGGAGAATGTCGTCGAAGAAATGTGTTGAGAGGAGGGCACCTTTAACGCCGTAAGCAGAGCACCCAAGTAGCATTTCTGGTTTTATGAGGGTTCTGTAGACAATGATTTAGACTTGTAGAATGCTTTAAAACCTCGATAAAATTAGTAATGTTGCAGATCATGTCAGCGCTGCAGCGAAAATGGCGAGAGGACCAGCTAGAAAGTAGTAATGTGCTCACACAAGTGCGAAGTGAAAGACTAAGCCGGGAGAACTCTCCGTCAGAGTAATCCATCGCCAGGGGTTAGCTGAGTACGAAGCGACGCTGGGAGCTAAATGGCTCACAAATTGTAGAGACGATCAGCGAACTGGAAGCGCCAATTAGCTGAGGTAAAGTGAGATGCATAATGCACGGCCCCTCCGAAGTAATACGACAAGTGGTTCCGGAGGAAAAGGGGAAGGCGTCCAAGGAGATCCACCACCGTGTCACTGCGACTGTGCGCCCAGTCATCAAGCGGTGGCACGATTGCCTTTTGAAGGTTTCCTCCTTGCCAAAAAAAAATCTCAAGATCCTGACCAACTGGGAAGCTTCTGTCTGTAGAAAAGTTGTTCAGATATCCAAAACCTTTTGATTGATGATTAAATTTTATGTGTGAATACAATCCATCTCCCACTTTTTGAATGATTAGTTTTGATTAGATTGATTAGAAGATTGGTTCATAATTATGCCACTTTGTGGCACTGGTGTGCATGTGAACTTTTCGTGACCAGCTGGAAAGTTACTGTGCACAAGTTCATAGATTTTTAACGCATATAATCTGAACCTTCACGTTTCTTGTACAAGAGCAGCAGTACACCACAGAAGCGATAGGGTTCTGTACCGCTGTGAAAATGTTATGCCGTTACGTTATGTCCACCATAGAAGCATAAGCAGAGACCAAAATCGAAGACAACAAATCAAGAAGACTGGCAACTCTTCCATTTTCTCATACAAACGCTATGAGACAGGTACAATCGCGTCATCTGCCGCTCAAAGGTAAATGCTTCGAACGAATTTGATAGCAAAGATTACAACCTCAGAAGAAGGGTTGTGTATTTGCGTTGCTTCCACCTTCACTCAAGTGCAGCGCTACTGTATCTGTCGCTTGGATTCTGGCAAAGTTGCCAGTCTTCTTGATTTGTTGTCTTCGCCAAAATACAATATGGCTAAACTAGGATGACGGTGTGGGGGAAATTTTTAAAAAGAACGATCATTGCCCAAAATCGGCCTCTTTTAATATCAGGCATCCGTGTGCTAAAATGCATTTTAATTAACTAGAGCAGTGATAAAAGTTGAACGTGACCAAAAGTTTGCATTTTTCATTAGCTTATTTTTGAAAAAAAAAATCAAATTTGCTTTTCATTAGGAAAATCGGCTGGAGTAGATAATGTTAATGCTAGAGTTATTCAAGCTGGGCACATCTTGCTGAACCTTATTAATGAATCATTGCAAACTGGACATGTGCCACAAATTTGGAAGGAATCCTTAGTGGTACCTATTCAAAAAGTTGCTGGAATGAATAAAGCCGAAAAGTTTCGTCCCATCAACATGTTGCACACATTAGAGAAAAATTTAGGGCTTGTTGTGAAAGGCCAGCTGTTGGAGTATTTAAATAGTATGCTTTGTTGATTGATCACTGAGAATGCTTGTGAATATTTGAGGTTCACAAATAGGTGAATGCCTAAGCTTTATCACCTTTATATCGCTGTGAAGCAACTGAAAATAGTTGAGGGAATTTGTACCTGTAATTGTAACCAGTTCGTTTTTGTTTGCTAATCTAGTTAAGATGTCATACTTAATTATCTTAAAGATAAATCGTCCAGCTCAAACCGTTGTAGGGGTAAGAGGTGGGACCATCATCATCTTAGCTTGTAGGCCTGTAAAAACAAAGTCAACCATGGCTTGGATTCCCGGTCCAGTCTAGGATATTTTCGAGTTGGAAAACTGTTCGACTTCCTTGGGCATATTGTGCATCATTGTGCTTGCCAGAGAAGAAAGACAAATTGTAACTTAGTTAACAAATGTTTGCAGCTATCTTTGACATGCCTCCAACTCTTAACCCTCTCTCATTTAGCTGTATTAGTAAACCCCTAACTGTGAGTACCTATATAATACACACAGAAAAAAAAATACATAGGACATCCTCTGGAGCCACCACCGTGCGTCAAGTTTCTACTTAACAGGCAAAATTAATAACCATAAATCTTACTTTTGAACCACTTCCACGTCGCTGCTTCCTTGTCGTCGTCGCTCCAGCGCCCTACACCACCGACTATGCAAAGCAGAATCCGCGCTACAACACCCCTTTTCTGCCCCAGCCCAGTCGACAGTCAGTGTGCTTCCGGGGGATCCCAGATGCGACGTCGACCGACAACGACGACGACGGATGATATATAAGCCTCTCCTGTTCCATGCCGTTATAACAGTAAGTAAGTAAGTACCAAACTCCTTTCGCTTTTTGAGAAACATCCTGATCTTGTACCGTGCTAGTGCGTTGCCGTCGTCGGTGTTTGGTGATGAAGCCACGAAATAAGACAGCAGCGAGGACTCGTGTCGTCTTTCCGTGTGCGTTTTAAATTTGATAGGGTTGAGTTTTGGAAGATATTAAAAAAAATCTCTGGGGTGAGGTTTTTCATTCCCCCGGTTTTTTTAACGCTTCCAGCAGCCTTCAAAGTCACCCTCGCAGTTTTTTTGTATATGAGGATTTTTTTCCATCGTGGGGTGTAAGTTTTTTAATGGGAAAGAACGGGGGGTCATCAAAAGGAAAAACGCGAAGGCTAGCTTCTCACAACAAAATTTGAAAAACTATTTTTGAATTCAGGCAACGGATTTGAAAACGGTTTTCACTCAAGTGCATACTATTCCTTATATTTTAGCATGAGCATGAGCATTGCGGACCATACATTTCAATAGTTCCTACTCCGTGATTGGCCAGATTTAGCGAAATTTGCACAAAGAACTATTTGAATGGGGCTTGGGACTAGCAATTCTCAGAGTGCAAAATCCGGAGAATCCATATTTTTGAGGTAAATAACGGCGTCGGCCACGTCCGCGAGCCGTATTTTGTTTAGAACGAGGGTGACGCGCTTGGCATAGATGGTCCACAGCGACTCACGAAGAGCTACTGAATCCGATCAGTAGCGGTGCGGCTTCTTCCTCCTTCATCAGGGAATGGACACTCGTGTGGGCTGCAGCTCGCTGCTTGCGGGTAGCCTTTCGTTGTGTACTGGGCAACAATGTACAACGCCACGCGCCGAAAGCCTTGCTGCTGCTGCTGCTTGAAAATTCGTGTAATTTTTATTAGTGACCTATTGAACATTGATAAAGTGTTCATTTTAGCAGATTTGTAGAAAAATTTTCAATCGATTGGTTTGTTTAAAACTAAAATCCATTCGCTATTGACAGAGTCATAAGTGGTCAAAACCTAACCACTTTTCGTAACGCAGCCGATTTTGGTTTTTTTGAAATTGCACCCCCAATATGTTGCCGAAAGACGTAATCCAACGGCGTAATACAAAAACAATTTTGATCTATATTGATCCGGAAAATTCATAGGTAATAGGTAATTTATTCGTAGGTATTGAGCACACCTTCGGGATAAGCACCTATTTTCAATCTGTTGAGTATACATCATCAAATACAACTTCGTAGACAAATAAATAAAACATTTGTACATTAGTTGAGTTCAACAGCTACCAGAAAAGCTGGTAACTTGAGTTAAATTCAATGGAAAAAATAATTAAACTAATTTATTAATTCAGATCGAATTAAGGTTTCAATTCCGAAAGCTCCATTGGTGCACCCCTCGGCAGCCGGTGTTGTCTTTCAAGCCTTTTATGAAAAGCGCAGAAATCGCTTTTTACATAGGCATCTATATCAACAAAACTCGGCTGGAGGAAGGTAGCTTTGCTTACACACGGGACGAACGATCCAGCTGATGACGATGAAACACCACCCAAACCTCATCGCATCCTAATCCATCGCACATCGACACAGCGACTGCAATCAATATGTAGATTTATGTACGCAGACAGACGCGCGGGGACTTAACTCTTTTCCGTGCTTTATTTCGCCGTCGCGCCACTTGATCTAATCAGAATTTTAGAACGGCCCGATCGAATGATTCGACCATAGGAAGGGAAGCGCGATTCTTAGGCACGTTTCCGATTCCGATGGTTTTCGAGTGCATGTTATTTTTTTTTATCGGAGGGGTACTTTTGAATTAACCATTCGGGATTTATTTATTTTTTTCGGGAGGAAATGGAATTTCGAATTGGTTGTCACACACCATCGCATCGAACGGTAGTTGAAGAAAAAAAGAATCTCAAAATTTGAGACGCTTCGGCAGGGAATCTCAAAAAACGGTAATTATTTTTTATTCTACAAACGGTAAAGAATTGCATCCTTGAAAGAATCTGAAGCAAACGGATGGAGATAAAGTAGGAAAAAGGGATACAGAAGGATTAGTTTTTGTTAACCGAATCCTCCTTCAGCCGTTCCTTTCTTTATCCTAAGACATGTTTTCATTTCAGCTGATCGGCTCTTCGGAACATTGTATCATATTTATTTAACCGATTTTCGGAACGCTGCTATTCATTCACATTTTTTTTGGAAAATTATGGTTCCGCACACATCTCCAGAAATTGAAGGTGATCCGTTTGATTTGCGGTTGATTGATTACTGTCTGCTGTGCATTTGGTGTTTTTTTTTTCGTCGGTCGTAATACCATAACGGGATGCATCTTGCTGAAATATGTATCCCTTTTCTATGTTTCATTGCGGGTTGGCGGTTCATCTTTCTACGAAGAGTGAGGTAGATAAACTGTAGTTATTATTTTATGAGTTCTATAAGCTCTTTTTTGGAATTGAAGGTGATTGAAAAAATTGCTTCTGCAACCTAAAGCAGTGTATTCAGATTAGCAACCTTGGATAATATAAGGCAAATCGGTTCAAATTTTCGTACCATAGTTTACAAAAAATTGATATTCCAGTGTTACTAAACATGATTTAAATGATTTGATTGAAATGATTTTTTAAATTTACTATTAATTGATTTATTAACTTATTTATTTACATGAGAGCAATTATCTGCCAAAGGAGCAAACGACTCAGCTCGACTCGCTTCGATTTGGATGAAACTATCAACATGCCTTTGGTATAGGAGATCATGTTTTGACGTAGGACTGCATCTTTCTTTACGAAATTGAAAACAAGGCATGTAACGAAAATAGCGGAAGTTTTCAAACGCAAATTTCTCTAAACCATTAATGGGAAATTTATCATGTAATATGTCATTTGACGGAGAATTTATCCAGCAATTTTTGGTGTATAGTACAATTAGTGAAAATAGATTCGAGTTTCGAACGCCTTTGGATACGGTTGTGTTTTAAGTTTGTGCGTGCATTCGCTTTCATAGTTTTTGGCTGCATTTGCCGGATTCGCGCTGGCGCTCTGCCTCCCGGCCGGTTATACGTGTGTGATTAGTAGTTTTCTCGCTTTCCGAGAAGTTTTAGAATCGAGAAAGAAAACGTGATTCATCATGTTTGCAAGCATCAGAAAAAATGTCGCAATCTGCGTTGTTTGATTTTTTCTCCCGGACCAGAAATTAGTGGCATCGCGAATGATAATTTGTAATTTCAGTTCATATACGCGCTGCATGGTGAATGACACAGTAGGCTGCGCTTGAAAGCTGACCTGTTTTACTTTTGCTGTGTTTTTTCGACAGCGAATTAACATTTTTTTGTTTTAAATTTGTTAATTTGTGTGCTGAAATTTAGTTTCAAGTGTTCATAAAGTTATCATTTAGTGATGTATCGTGTTTTGCCTGTGACTCGGTTGACCTTGAATCTAACCTCCAGAATCTACGACGCAGCTTCAATTCTATTGTTCGGTGTAGGTTCTCATTGCCTCCCGGGAGCCCGATTCTTCGAGTTCGGATGGCACACTTTCGGCGTGTAGTTCTATTGAGAGATTCGTCACCGTGGGCGATTTTGAACCCGGTCCGGTTGATGAATTAGCCCAGGAACGTGTTGATAATGTGTCCGTCGCGAGTTTTGGTCATGATTCAGCAAGTTTTCCACTTGCAAAATGCTCGGCTGCTGGTCTCTCGCCGGTTCCGGAGATTGCGAGCAATATGAAAGATGCCTCGCTGGATACGCCCAAGACTGGACGGGTGGTAGCTGGTGGCCGCGAGCCACCTCCCAGATAACCATGGCAATGCAAGAAAATTTGTGTTTGTTGAAGGAAGTATTATGATAAAGGTGCATCACGAAATAAGCTGCAAAGCTTAGAGACAATCGGAACGCATGGATTGGAGCATCAAGTGAACATGGTGAGACCAGCCCAAATACATTTTACAATTTAAAAAAAACATAAACTAAATTCGTGCCTGGTTTGAAAAGAATATTTTCGAACCTGGAAGCGTGTATGTAAGACCAATATCCATTTGATAACGGTGATGCATACATGCGGGGCTTATTGTAAGTGAAAGTAACCTCGGAATGGGCGTGACTCTCCAGACATTCTGAAATGGGTTGCTGGATCTGCAATAGAGCTTGATAGGATATAAAATTGGATTGTCTCTGTAATTTAGAAATATTTCTTTAGTATAGATGGCGTGGATAGGTTAGTTTCATTTCCACTGGTTCCGGTATCATCTCTCGGTTTGTGCTATTGACATTCTAATTAAATTCCGTTGTTTACATTTTGCCTTTGTTCGGATTGCCATTGAAAATATACACAATGTAGCAAGTGAAAGTAAGGAGCAAGTGTTTTTTTCTTTTATCCGAGTTACGTCTTTGGAAAGGAGGAAGAAAGGGGAGAAACCCGAACCCGAAACTACCTTCATATCCTGACAAGTTCGACAGTGAGTCACCGGTGAGACAACATTTTGGTGCCGTGACCAGGATACTCCTGGAAGAATAGTTCCCGTCCCGTTACACGTGTTGCGCATAACCTTGATTTGCGAACACACATCGGAGGTTTTGGACCGTATTGCTGTTTTTATTCAAAATCCAAGGCCTCATTCCAAGAGGTACCAGGTGAGTACCTCTCTAATACGCTTACTTCTAGTTTTGTGGTGCTTCTTGGTCCTTTTCGACCATTTCAGCTTCGCCAACGTCGCCGGTAAAATTGCCGCATAGAGATGCCGGACGAAAAGAAGCAGAAAGCAAAGGAGCAGAAGCGGAAAAATGTAGTCGACGCCATGGACAGGATGATCCTGTTCCTTCAGAATTATGATCCCGAACAACATCAAGCTGAAGTTCCTCATAGACTGGAACGCCTGGAGAAGATTTGGGACACATTCGAAATAGTCCAATCCGATTGCGAAGAGTTGGACGACAGTGAAGAACTTGAAGCGAAGAGTTTGCGGTGCAGAGCCCAGATGGAGGAGAAGTATTTCCAAGCAAAGGCAGGTTTGATGTCGAGGCTACCACCAGCTGCTTCTGTCGTGCCACGAGCTTCTGTGGCAGTTCGTGAATTACCAACTTTAACCAACGTGAAGCTTCCCACGATCACTCTACCTGAGTTTGATGGAGACTTCAACAACTGGTTAACCTTCCATGACACCTTCCTGTCCATGATCCACTCGTCCACGGAGATCTCGTTCGTACAGAAGTTCCACTACCTCAGAGCGTCACTGAAGGGAGAAGCTGCCAATCTAATCCAGTCCATTGCAATCACTGCGAACAACTACACCGTCGCCTGGGACACGTTGGTGCAACGTTATTCTAACAAAGCCCTTCTGCGAAAGAAACACATCCGTGCTCTACTGAAGTACCCGAAGATCGTTAACCAGTCCGTCGAAGGATGAATTCCAACGACATACCAAGATTTTGGAGCAACTTGGGGAGCCCGTCGAGCATTTCAGTTCCATCCTAATGGAGCTGTTGGAGGACAAACTAGACGATATCTCTCTCACTGCGTGGGAAGAATCTATTGCTACTGACAATGAACCCACCTTCACAAAGATGATTGAGTTCCTCCAAAGGCGAGCGCGCATATTGGAGACGATCTCGATCAACCGTCCACACCACAACCAGATGAAGTCAGTGAGTCAGTCTTCTGCCTTAAAGCGTCCCAGTCAACCTTGCGTGAGTACTAACGCAGCTACTGAAGCTTTACCGAAAGCATTTCCGCTGTGCCCTGCCTGCGAGAAGCAGAAACATTCGTTGTACGACTGCCCCGCTTTCAACAGCTTGGATCCGAAGAATCGTTTAAAGGTCATAACACAGAAGAAGTTGTGCAGCAACTGCTTTCGAAGCGATCATTTTGCTCGCACGTGTCGATCGAAGTACAGCTGCAAGCAATGTTCGAAACGCCACCACTCTATGATTCACCCCGGACCATATGAACTCAATTCGACGATTACCGAAGATAATACCGCATCACGATCATCCATAGCTGTAACTGCCAATCCAGGTCCTTCGAACGTTCTCACTGTCGTTTCTTCTGGTCCCAACGACGGGCCCTCGTCTACGAAGGCTGTATTCCAATCAGCTAGCGTTCTTCTGACCACAGTAGTAGTGATCGTAGTAGACGCTTACGGTCAAGAACACGTCGCCCGTGCCTTGTTGGATACTGGATCCCAGCCGAATGCGATTAGCGAACGACTTTGCCAGCAACTTCACCTGAGCCGTAGGTCTGTCAACGTGCCAATCGCTGGCGTAGATGGGGCTGTTACGAGCGCCAAGCACGAAGTGACTGCCAAAGTTCGATCACGCGTGTCCAACTTCCGTGAAGTACTTGATTTCCAGGTGTTGCGGAAAGTGACCAGTGACACTCCATCCGTACCATTCAATGTGGCTGAATTGAAGCTTCCCGACGATCTAATTCTAGCCGATCCCGACTTTGGCACTCCTAGAAGGGTAGATTGGTGCTGCTCACTTCTACTCTTTCTTGCGGAATGGCCGGTTCCATCTCCCAAGTCTTCTGTTCGTCGAAACCGTATTTGGATGAATTGCGATGAGTCCCGCGAGCATTCCCAGCAGCCGACAGCAACTTGTCATGCGGCGACAGTTGTACCAGTCGATGAACTGCTGCAGCGATTTTGGCAGATTGAAGATGTAAGCGGCTCAAGCTACTCGGTCGACGAGCAAAAATGTGAAGATTTCTACCAGGAGACTGTTTCCCGTGATCCCTCCGGACGATATGTTGTTCGAATGCCCAAGCATCCCGAATGCGATCAGATGATCAGTGAATCAAAGACCAATGCGCTGCGACGTTTGAAGTGGTTGGACAATAGACTGGAGAAGGATGAAGAACTGAAGACTCAGTATCACGCTTTCATGGACGAGTACATCAGTCTCGGCCATATGGTTCCCGCTCTTGATGACAACGAGAATAGTTCAACCAGTTGCTATCTTCCGCACCATCCCGTGGTAAAGCAATCGAGCACGACGACCAAGGTTCGAGTTGTGTTCGATAGCTCAGCAAAAACTAGCACCGGGCATTCTCTCAACGATGCGCTGCTAGTTCGGCCAGTGGTTCAGCACGACATTCTGGACATTCATCTACGTTTCCGGATGGTCATGATCGCAGTAGTGGCGGATGCGGAGAAGATGTACCGGCAGGTACTGATGCATCGTGCAGATCGTTCGTTGCAGACGATTCTATGGCCACCCAGCAGTAGTGGATCCGTTCAAGCTTATGAGCTGTGTACCGTTACTTATGGACTCGCACCATCTTCGTTTCTGGCCACGAGGACCCTGTTGCAGTTGGTGGAAGATCATGGCAGTGAATTCCCGAAAGCAAGCAAGGCTCTTCGAAAGAATGTGTACGTGGACGACTTCATTTGTGGCGAGAACACAATCAAGGATGCAATCCAACTACGCACGGAGTTGACGGAGCTGTTGCAAAAGGGCGGTTTTCGTTTCCGAAAGTGGTGTTCGAACTCCCTACCGGTCTTGGCTGGTCTTCCTCAATCTTCTGTAAAATTCGGCCCCGATGAGACCATCAAAACCCTTGGCATCAGTTGGGAACCTGAGGCGGACGTTTTCAAGTTTTATACGACAATCGTAATCGATAATCAAACACCTACGAAGCGCACCATTTTTCAGCTATCGCTCAACTGTATGACCCTCTCGGAATCATATCACCCGTCGTAGTACAAGCAAAAATCCTCATGCAGCATCTCTGGCTGCTGGCTCTAGAGTGGGATACCGAAGTTCCTTCCGACATCCGACAGCAGTGGGTTCGACTCGCCGATCAGCTACCGCTGCTTTCCAACTTTCGGATTGACCGATTCGCTCTAGTTCCCAAGTTTCGACGCGCGGAGCTGCACTGTTTCGCAGATGCTTCGAAAGCTGCATATGGTGCGTGCATCTACGTACGCTCCAAAACACCAGATGGCAGTGTGATGATCAGTTTGTTAGCATCCAAGTCCAAGGTCGCACCATTGAAGCCGCTCAGTATTCCTAGACTAGAGCTGTGTGCAACACTCATCGCTTCCCGACTCTATGGAAGAACTTCAACGGCGTTGGATATGAACTTCTCCGCTGTAGTGTTTTGGTCCGATTCTACAGTGGTGTTACAATGGATGAAATCTCCCCCCACGGTCCTGGAAAACCTTCGTTGCAAACCGCATCTCTGAAATCCAATCAACCACTCACGGCTCGCAATGGCTCCACGCAGCTGGAAAGGATAACCCTGCAGATCTCGTTTCCCGTTTGCGTCGGCGTTTTTCGAGAGCAAGCGTGTCGGGTCCTGTTCGGCGGCCATATTTTTTTCGCTTCATGCTGTGCTGAGTGTAGTGTGTTTTCCCGAAATTTGTGATAAACTGGATGCAAAATGAATGACGATCAGTTTTCGCGTTTCATGCAACAGCAGAATGATGTGTTGCGCGAAATCGTGAACTCGTTGCAGAATGTGCAAGTGCAGCAACCACAACGAGTACAAGGGCAGCCTCAGTTGCAAATGGCTGCCAGTTCGACAGCATCGTCTGTCCCGCTCCCTCCACCGCTCGAACTAAGTGGAGACATGGAGGAGAATTTTGATTTTTTTTTTCTACTAACTGGAAAAACTACGCGAGTGCTATTGGAATGGATGAGTGGCCACAGGAGCAGAACAAGCAGAAAACCAGCATTTTGTTGTCAGTGATCGGTAGTGCTGCGCTTAAAAAATTCTTCAATTTTGGGTTGTCGGAAGAACAACGGCGTACCCCAGAAGCAGCTCTGGAGGCGATAAAAGTGAAAGTAGTGCGCGAAAGAAACAAAATCGTAGACTGGTTCGAATTTTTCTCGCTCGTGCAACAACCTGTGGAAATGATTGATGACTATGCGGCGCGATTGAAAAGCTTGGCCAAGTTGTGCAAATTCGGTGTGCTGGAGGATGACTTGATTACCTATAAGATTGTTACCTCTAACAAGTGGCCCAAACTGCGTGCTAAAATGTTGACGATGCAAAACCTAACGGAAGTGAAAGTTATTGACTTGTGCCGAGCGGAAGAAATCGCTGAAAAACATGCTGGTGCGATGGGTGCCAGTAGTGTTGACGTGAATCTCGTACGGAAGCAGAAGAATATGAAGTGCAAGTACTGTGGAGATCGGCACGAATTCTCGAAAGGAGTATGCCCAGCATTGGGCAAGAAGTGTAACGTGTGTGGTGGTAAAAACCATTTCGGAAAAGTTTGCAAATCGGATCGCAAGCAAAAAGGCAGAAGCGAAGGTAGAAGCCGAAGAAGAGTGAAGAAAGTGCAAGAAGACTATAGCGACATTGAAGAAAGCGGCAGTGCGACCAGTGATAATGAAGAATTGGAAAGCAGTAGTGATGAGGCTGTTATCGGCAAGGTGTATGATTTTTCGGAGTCGGGAGGAAACGTGATGGCTGATTTGGAGCTATTTGTTGGTGGAAAATGGCAGATGGTGCAATGTGAGCTGGACACGGGCGCTAACACTAGTCTGGTTGGTTACGACTGGATTAAGCAAGCAACCGGTTGTGATCGTTTGAAGCTGCTTCCTTCGAAATATCGTTTGCAGAGTTTCGGAGGCGGCACCATACCCGTCCTTGGTGAGATAAGGTTGCCATGTAAGAGAACAGACCGTAAGTACACACTCGTATTACAAGTCGTGGAGGTTAGCCATAAACCGCTCCTATCTGCAAAAGTTTGCAAAACTCTTGGCTTCATCAAGTTTTGCAACTCGGTTTCGATTGCTTCATCACCATCGGAAGAACAGCTGCTAAATATTTACCGTATCAAGGCTCAGCAAATTATCAATCAACATAGCGGTATATTTGAGGGCTACGGTAGATTTCCTGGTGTGGTCTCGCTGGAACTGGATCCTAAAGTATCTCCATCAATTCAGCAGCCACGTCGTGTACCAATTGCGATGCGAGACAAGCTGAAGAAGGAGTTGAAGAAGTTGGAGAAGGACGGACTAATTGTGAAAGAGCAGCAGCATACGGAATGGGTTAGCAATATAGTTCTCGTGAAGCGAGGTGGTAAGGATTCAGACTCAATCAGGATCTGTTTGGATCCAATACCCCTAAACAAGGCGCTGAAACGGCCAAATCTGCAGTTTACAACGATCGATGAGATATTACCAGAGCTGGGAAAAGCCAAAGTGTTCTCTACAGTTGATGCCAAAAAGGGCTTTTGGCATGTGGTTCTGGATCAACCAAGCAGTCGACTAACAACGTTTTGGACTCCCTTCGGAAGATATCGCTGGATTCGTTTGCCCTTCGGCATTGCTCCTGCACCGGAAATCTTCCAGATGAAGCTTCAAGAGGTGATTCAGGACCTGGAAGGAGTTGAATGCATTGCGGATGATGTGTTGATCTACGGAGTTGGAGATACCCTGCAAGATGCTCTTTTGAACCACAATAGATGTCTTGCAAAACTGCTAACTCGCCTTGAAGAAAATAATGTGAAGTTGAATAAAACTAAGCTGAAGTTGTGCTTGACTTCGGTAAAGTTTTATGGGCATGTACTGACGACCCGAGGATTGCAGCCCGACGAAAGCAAGATCGAAACCATCAAGAACTATCCTAAGCCGGAAGATCGGAAACAACTACAACGGTTCATAGGGATGGTTAACTACCTGAGTCGCTTTATTCCAAACTTAAGCTCCAATATTGCGGTTTTGAGACGGTTGATTGCAGTCAAGGAACCTTGGATCTGGGAAGAGAAAGAAGAAGAGGAGTTCAACCGTGTCAAGTCTTTGGTTGCTGACACTCGATCTTTGCAGTACTATGACGTCAACCAACCCTTGATAATCGAATGTGATGCAAGCTACTTTGGTTTAGGCACTGCTGTGTTCCAGTCTAATGGAGTGATCGGCTACGCATCTCGTACTCTCACGGCTACAGAGAAGAATTATGCACAAATAGAAAAGGAGTTGCTAGCCATTCTATTTTCATGTGTACGATTTGATCAGCTAATCGTGGGTAATCCGAGGACGATTGTGAGAACTGATCATAAGCCGTTGGTGAACGTGTTCAGGAAGCCTCTGTTGTCTGCGCCGAAACGACTGCAGCATATGCTGTTGAGTCTGCAACGGTATAACTTGGAGATACAGTTTGTCAAAGGCAAGGAAAATGTTGTAGCCGACGCCATTTCCCGGGCTCCATTGGATGCAGGACAACCTGAGGATCGATTCAACAAGCGGAACATCTATCACGTGTTCAGACAGTTGGAGGAAATAAACTCAAGCAACTTCCTCAATATCACCGATGAGCGTTTGACGGAAGTTATGCTAGAGACGGAAAAAGATCCTTCAATGCAACAGATCATCAGCTATATCCGTGAAGGCTGGCCTGTGTCAATAGATAAAGTGCCGGATGGAGTGAAAATTTTCTACAAACATCGAAATGAGCTCAGCTTCCTGGATGGGCTTGTATTCAGAAATGACCGTATTGTCATTCCATACCTGCTACGACGTAAAATGACCGACAAAGTACATGTTAGCCACAACGGAGTTGAAGGAACGTTGAAGCTGGCTCGGGCTAATGTGTTCTGGCCTGGCATGAGCACCCAGATTAAAGAAGCTGTCACTAATTGTGGAAATTGCGCTAAATACTGTTCATCCCAGCCAGCTCCACCTATGCAAAGTCATGCAATTCCTGTATACCCATTCCAACTCGTGTCCATGGATGTATTCTTCGCGGAATATCAAGGAGAAAATAAAAAAATCCTCGTTACTGTCGACCACTACTCTGATTTTTTTGAGGTTGACATGCTGAAGGATCTGACTCCAAGAAGCACCATTTCAATCTGCAGGAAGAATTTCTCTCGTCACGGCAAACCCCAGTTGGTTATTACGGACAACGGAACCAATTTTACGAACAAGGAATGGAGAAAGTTCGCGGAAGAATGGGAGTTTCAGCATTCGACATCGGCTCCTCACCACCAGCAGGCCAACGGGAAGTCGGAGGCAGCTGTTAAAATTGCAAAGCGACTGTTGAAGAAGTCAAAAGAATCTGGTGTTGATTTTTGGTATGCTCTTTTGCACTGGCGGAATATACCAAATAAAATTGGATCCAGCCCAGCTGCTCGTCTATTTTCACGGAATACGCGATGTGGACTTCCAACGTCTGTGGAAAATTTGATGCCGAAACCAGTTCAAGGTGTACCCAAGAGTATCGAGGAAAACCGACGAAAGACGAAGTATCACTATGACAAAACGACAAGAAACCTACCAATGCTTAAAACAGGATCACCAGTGTACGTGCAGTTGCATCCAGAATCAACGAAACAGTGGACTCCTGGTACGGTTGCTAATAAGATGAATGAGCGTTCGTACATGGTGAACGTAGATGGAGCGCTTTATCGACGTAATTTGGTTAACTTGAAGCCGCGCAAAGAACCTGTTGCGCCTGTTATTACCCCTTCGCCTGCTCTAAATAAATCAGGCAATTCTGAGGATGTCCCAGAGATAAGTGTTACAGAGAACCCTTCGTTGTTGGTACCTGACAAAAGTGTTACGATTCAATCTCCATCAAAATCGGATGAATCCTCAGTCGGAATGGATACCGTGAAGACTCCGATACGGATTACAACACCTAGACGAGAATGTCAAGCATCAGGATCGATGAAAAAAAATCAAAGACCGAATAGAGAAATACGTTTGCCTACTAAATTCAAAGACTATGACCTTCATTAACTTTTTATTATAAAACAGGGAAGATGTTGTAATATTATTACGTACTTTGTGAGTGATACTTGGTTCGTAGTTTGTGAATGTTCCCAACCTTCCTTTCCCTCTCTTGGTCATAGCTCAGTGTGGTTTGAGACTTTGTATCGTACGGACTCAATTAATAAAGCTCGAGTGAATAAGCTAAACCGGTGTTTTTGTTCGTACTAAAACAATGTCAGCTGAAGAATTGGTCGCAAGCAACTTATGGAAGTATGGTCCTAGCTGGTTGCAAGAGGACGGATCAAGGTACCCAGGAGAACCAGTTACCCTCCGAGGAAATGGAAGCAAATTCGAACGTGATCCTGGCAACTCAAGTTCATCCACCAAATCCACTATTCGAAAGGTACTCGTCGTATCAGCGGCTGGTCAACGTGATTGGATACTGTCTACGCTTTTTGCAAAACACTCGCTGCAAAGGAAATCAACGAGGGAATAAAATTACGGATGAAGTTCTCTCTGCTGATGAATTGGAATCAACAAAACTCGTCCTCGTTAAACTCGTGCAAGCCGAAGCGTTTTCTGGTGAACTGAAGCTACTCAGGAAAGGTCATGCAGTGTCAGCAAAGTCGCCGCTGCGTCTACTCAGTCCTTTCGTCAATTCCGAAGGGCTGATTCGTGTTGGTGGTCGGTTGAGCTTGTCCGACGAACCCTAAATACAACGTGAAGCATCAGATGGTCATTCCTGGTTTTCATCCTTTCAGCAAGCTCCTGTTGTACTACTATTATCGTAAGCTCATACACGGCGGTATAACTATGACGCTTGCTACAGTTCGGGACGAATTCTGGCCACTAAACGGACGGAAAGCTGTTAAAAGTGTAATCAGAAAGTGCTTTCGATGCAACAGAGCCAAACCGCTACCAATCCAGCAACCGATTGGTCAACTACCGATGTCTCGTGTTACCGCCTGTCGTGATTTTCAGGAGCCCGTACAAAGTTGTTTGCCTGGGGAAGCTCCATAGTTTCTGCTTGAGCGCCGTGCGAAATGCAGAGAAAGCCAGGGGAACTCTCAACCCTTGATGTTCTTCCGATTTGCTGCTGACCGAAATCAATCACTGCTGCCGAAGAGTAGTAGTAGTAAAATTTACGTTTATTTTCTGGGTTTTATGTTTCAACATTTGATTTAACATTTCAATTGGTTAGCCTTTGGCTCTTCATCTTTGTTCTAGTTAATTGGTTATTCTAATATGATGATTGCGTTTAGCGCTAATTTACAGGATACCCTTTGTGGGTTGTTTTGGTTTGAATTTTGAAAAATTGATAACCTACCTACTTGAGCACCTAACTACTTAAACTAGGTTGCCAAATCACGAATGATCTGGTGGTTTGATCGCAGACAGGCGACTCTGAACCTTTCCAGCGTGGAAGTCTTTCCTTCCTCGAGTGTTTGAAGACCGGCCAGGTGGTGAATCTCAGAATTACGAGTTAGCGGTGGACTGTTAAGTATCATTCTGAGGATCTTGTTTTGGATCCTCTGAAGCTTCTAGATTGGCATACCATACTCAATAGCCGGCAGAATGATTTGCTTGTGAATGAAGCTTGTTTTTGAGGGACAGGGTGGACTTCCTGTTTATCAGAGGGTAGAGCGACCTGATCAAGATGTTACACTTGGTGGATGTCTTGTCCACATGGGATCGGAATAGCAATTTGCTATCAAGGGTGAGACCAAGGTAGACTACTTCACTCGACCATTCAATGGGAGTGCTATCAAGATGGATCTTGACGTTAGCAGGCGGAACAAGCCGAGGTGAATACGAATGTGGAAACAGAATGGTTTGTGTTTTAGCTGCATTGATACAAATCTTCCAGCTCTTAAAATAGTCGGACAAAACATCCAGGCCTGATTGTAGTTTACTCGCCAGAGCACGGATCACTCGACCCTTATAGATGATGGAGGTGTCATCTGCGAACATTGACAGGATACCACCACCCGGCAGAGGAGGAATGTCTGACGTGAAAATGTTGAATAGGATAGGCCCAAGCAGGCTACCTTGAGGGACCCCTGCATCAACGTTGAACGTATCAGAGGAGACATTGTTCAAGTAGACCTGGAATGATCTGCCCGACAAGTAGTTTTTGATGATCTTCACGAGGTAGTTCGGAAAGTTGTATCGATGCAGCTTGTACACTAGACCATCATGCCAGACATTGTCGAACGCCTTCGCGACGTCCAACAATGCCATGGCAGATGTATTGGAAACGGACTTGTTCCGCTTGATGATGTTAGTAACCCGTGCGAGTTGGTGGATGGTAGAGTGGCCTTTCCTAAACCCGAATTGCTCTGTGAGAAAGATGTTATTATCATTTGAAAACACCAGCAGACGGCTGAGTATCAATTTTTCGAATAGCTTCGAGATGGAGGACAAGAGGCTGATGGGGCGATAGCTTTTGGCACTGGTAGGGTCTTTGCCAGGTTTGTGAATTGGAATAACTTTGGCTAACTTCCAGCATGCAGGGAAGTAGCCAAGCATTAAACACTTGTTGAAGACCACTGCAAGGTGCTTGAAGAAGCCAACACTCAAGTTTTTCAGCTCGAGGTTGACCACTCCATCGACACCAGCGGCCTTCATGTTCTTTGTTGATTTAATCGCTGTTATCACCTCATCAGCCGATATTATACTTTCGTCAGGGACAACTACGGGGGTGGCAGCGACACTAGCCATTGCCTGTGATACTGCAGGCTCGTGGGGACTCACCATGGCGTGGCCAAGGTTATGTGAATTTACAAAGTGTTGTCCAAGAGCATTGGCCTTTTCAAATGGGGTTATTAGTAAAGATGGGTCCGAATTTTGGTTAGGAGAGCAAAGGGGAGGAATGGGCCTTGGCTTATTTTTCAAAATCTTTGCCATTTTCCAGAATGGCTTAGCACAATCTGGGAGAGAGCGAATCTTGTTTGCAAAATCGATATTTCTGAGATCCACCATCCTGGCTTGGATGATTTTGTTCAAACGGTTGCAATTGGTCTTCAGGTTAGGCAGCCCAGAACGCTGGTACTGCCTACGAATCGTGTTGCGGAGTCTAATGAGGTCTTTAGTAGGCCTGTCAAGGTTCAGAGTATTACTCACCTGTCTGGATACTGGCACATGTAGCTCCCTGGCCCGGGAAATTGCTTGATCGATGGAGCGCAGACACCGGTCAACATCTTCGGACGATTCCGGTTGGACATCGTAGTCTACAGCGGTGTCGACGCAATGTTGGAACTGACCCCAGTCAACACGATGATAGTTGCGCCGGAAAGCTTCAAATCGATTTACGGAGGATCCCACCTCAGTCACCACCGGTAGTGGTCCGAGCTGAGTTCCTGATAGGTGATAGGTTGAGCGATGTTGTTGCCCATGTTGCTGATGAATATATCGATGGTAGCGTGAACACCGGACCGACTCAACCGGGTGGGAGTTTCCGGACTCAAGATGTTGTACTGCGCTTCCTGCAGGTCGTTGTTCAGGATGGTGCCGTTTTGATTGCGCCGATTGTTGCCCCAAGCTTGATGTTTGGCGTTCAGGTCGCCAGCGATGATAAAGTTTTCCCGTCGTCGTGTTAGCTTGATAATATCTCGTCGCAGATCTGCTGCCGATCCGTCCCTGATGTTGACTTGTTTGGGGCAGTAAGCC